ATTTCCTGCGTGCGAATGAACACTATTAGCTTCGAACTCAATGTTTGAGAATACATTTTGATGCTTTTCTACAAAGTACACCAAAGTTGCTATACCTGCTTCATATATTTCTCCTCCATCCAGTGTAATAAGATCAGCTTGTCCGTCTTTGATCTTTTGCATGCAATCAATGGCATTACTTCCCTAAACACAACTAGCTTGCAAGGTGATGTTGAGTTCACTTGACACATTTTTCAACGCATATAGAAAATCTTGGCACTTTTTTTGTTCTAAGGCTTTGATTGTGCACCATCGCATTTGGGTAACATGAGAATCACCTAATAAAAAATAAAATAAATAATGAATAAATAAATAAAACAACGATTCATGACGGTGAGAGAGAGGGAAAGAGGGATTGCTATCACTTAAAGGACTTTGGGAATGGAGAGTGGTAGGTAGATTTCGCATCCATACCCCACCCACCTGCTTCTCGCACCTTAGACTCTTATCTTCCACCTTTCAATGATAAAGAATACGGATCGTGAATCAACGAACGTCAACATTTTTGCATTTCTTTCCCGCTTCCACCTATTTCCTGGATTTTTCCGGCCGCTGGAGTCAGTATCCGAGGGAGGTCACAGTCACAGTAAGAATCTTCATTCTTTCTTAAATTTCTCATGAAACTAGAAATGAGAGTTATTCGCAATCTCGGGATTCACCTAATGAAATTTGTTTGTTGAAAATATGTATACGATGTTTTAGGTTCCCATATCGGCGCAGTATTCATACGATTTCATACCAACTTCAAGTGGAAATCTTTTCGCATGTGAAATTTGCCGAGCGGAAAGGCAGTTATAAAGCATTTGTAGAATTTCATACCTTTAAATGCTTTTCTGTTGATCTCAGTACAAGAAAAAGTGGATTCACGCATGCGCATTTGTGCCTCGAGTGCTTTTCCGTTGATGCTGATACAAGAAAATGTGAAGTTACGCATGCACTTTCGTGCCTTTTCGTTGATGCCGATACAAGAAAAAGCGGATTTACGCATGCGCTTTCATGGCTTTCTATTGATGTAATCGAAAGAAAAAGTGAATTAACGTATGGGCTTTCGTGCCTTGAGAGTAAATACGGCTAACACCGAATTCGGAAGAGTGCGTGAGAAAAAAAAAACCCATTCCGTTGATATTGCTGTCCTTTTTTGCGGTTTAAGCTTTAATGAAATTGCGTAAATTACTCGTAATGGACATTTTCTCACAAACCAATCGATGAACAGCCAACAGCAATCAGTTTGGCGATTATATTTGCATAAAACCTTGCATGACTCAATAGCGGAAAATATTAATAGAAAATACACCTTCTGGCAGTTTTGAATCAGTTCAATAGCAAATGAGTTGAACCGCTATTGAAATTTAAGAATCATGATGTAGGCTTTTGTGCAGCAAACCAAAGAGGACGATAAGCAAAAAACAAAGGCCGCTTCCGAATTATTATGTAATTTTATAAATCTGATAAACTCAACTGATCAAGAACCAAACGGCCACTCTAAAAATACAACAGGAGTTGCCAGATTGTTCTTTTGGTTTTTTTTTTTTTTTAGTAGCGCAAAATAAAAGTGGTACTCTTCACCTTCCTGACAATTCGCCTATTAATATTGTACCCTTTTTGACTACAACACCCAGTGCTAAATTCCTGCATTAAAACAAGCAAGGGGCATGTCTCGCTTCGCTAACTCACTCGTTCCTTATGGCTTTGCATTTCGTAGGCAAGGACCATATCTTACCACAGACACTTTAATTCATATTAATGCCCTGCACACAATGGAGTTTAAATATGTCCAAGTGGAAGTTTGAGGTAAATAAATTTTTCATAATTAATTTGGGCCTAACAGTCGACAAAGGTTTTTCAGGCACAAGTACATTATTCAAAGAGTTGTTTATTGTTTGTAAATTCTTTTGTTTCGACATATTTTGTGGTGGTTATTTTATAATCACGAACTATAAGGTTGTATTGGCCCTTCGAAAAATAATTTTTTGTCTGAATAATTTCATCCATTATGAAGTCGAATAAGATTTAAGAAATCTGAAACACAATATCCTACTGTTAACTGTGCGATCGCATGCTTGCCCAAAATGGATGTATTCATAGATGTGTTTTACTGTACATTACTCAAACACGAAGATTTGTTCTCTCCTTCGCATCAAGGCTATTGACCAATTTAAGTCCACAGTCAGACATTTCTGGCTGCATTTTTTTGAGCCAATAAGTCAAGGAAATTCTTCTCTGATTCTTTGTCAACATGACTGTTAATCTGTGACGCGTTTTAGTAATCCTTTCGGACGTTTCATATAATTCAAGATTTACTGATGATACTCACTAGTATCTGAATTGGCTAGCTACACTAATTACAGACCGTGGTCGGTTGTGGATCAACCTTTTCATCGTGATATCAGTGACGCTATATCATTTAGATCATCCATCGATGCATTCGTAGTTATCCAAACAAATTAAGCGTTTTCACACTAACACCCACCAGAAAACCACATCTAATACATTTGAAGCGAAAAATCGCTTGTGAGTTTCTCAAACAGCAACTTACCAAGCGTAAAAGCAAGAGCACTGAGGAAGATGAGTGGTCCCAACATGTTGACAACGATATAGAAGAATGTAGACTTCTGTGTCAGAGGCAGCAAAGCGAACAGTTAAGGAAAAAAATTAATATTGACTCTCTGTGATTGACAGGTCACACGTTAACAAAAGGAGTAACCTTGGATACATCCCTGAGGAGGTTTAATTTCAGCGCGAGAGCCAATTGCGCAAGAGCAACATTTACCGCATTGATGAGCAGTCAGCTCTTCATCTGAAACGGGTTTAAGTCAGGTCTGTTTGTGCAGGCACCCAATATTTCTTAAAAACCAAAGACTGAGAGTGGCTTCCTGTTTAAAATTCACAATGAAGATATAAATAGTTTAATTTCTTTCATTTCTCATAGGCGCTTCAGATGAAGGTGTTGGCTCTTCTCCTGAGTGCTCAGTCAACTGGTAAAAGTTGCTCTTGCGCAATTGGCTGTCTGATATATACCAGTTGCTTGTCCGGGTCATGGGCCCCCGACATATCATTGTCTTACCCAAGGAGGGGGGAGAGGGGGCACCCCCAGGGGAATTGGACATTTTTCAAGGTTTCCATTAGTCAACTTTCCCATCCTTGAGTATCCATTATATGTCAAAATTCCACCCCTGAGGGCCAGAAACATTGTTTAATTTCAACAAACTTAGGTGCTCACATCACTGAATTGCAGCCAGTGACTATGAAAGTATCTTGATGTAAGATGCTACCACCAACTTTGTCGAATTTGTTCGCTGTAAACAAATTTTATGTAGGGTTTATTTTCAAATTCCTTGTTCATAGTTGACGTGTTAAATGTCATGTAAATGTGCTGTCGAGGACGAAAACTTTCCTTCCCTCATCGAACTGAACGAGCAGTGAGGGTGAAAGGCGGAATTATATTGAGGAATAGTGGTGTGGTATTACTTGCGGAAAAGCACAATTTGACAGCATATAAATAAGTTTGAATACTTCCGTACCGGTAGGCCTAGACAGAAATATTGCGTATATCGCCTTGTAAATATGTTACCGGAAATTCTCGATTTATTTTTTTTTCTTTATGTATCTCAATTTTTTTCTAAATATCTTGAGAAACGTTTTAAATATCTCAACAATGTTTAAAATGGCCCAAATGTTGACTCAGTTTTTCAGCGATCTATATTTTCCACTTAAATGTTGTAAATCAGCATAGAGGTGTATAGAAATCGAATTGTGGTCAGCCATCAATATTATATTCATAGTGGAATGGCTCACGCTCGAATCTTCAGCTTTAGAAACACTTAAAGTAGACAAATTTACTTTACAATTCGTATCCATTGGCAGAAATATTGGGCAAGATGGCGGCCGCGCTTGTGCATTTCGTCCATAATGGCGTCTAAATAATATAAGAAACTGTAGGGAAATTTGTAAAATTTCTAAAACATAACAATAAATAATATGCTCCTGCTCATGGTCCCGTCCGCGCTCGATCGAGACATATTCAGTACCGATTCTGCTATTCATCAAACCTCTCAGTGACTCGATAAATAAAAACAACTTACTTCCCGAACCAGTTCTTTTGTCATTTTCCATCGACCTAAGTCGCCATACAGTTCTTCAAAATCCGTCGTTCTCCATCCCAAACACTCGCCTGTTACAGGAAAGTGCATCGATGAAGTCAACTGCTCTCGATCGAATTGACCACTACTGAGTTCGAAGCGTCCAAATATCCTGAAAAATTGCCATTTCCTCCCATCGAAAAACTTCCCAACGCGCCAGAATATCCCTTATTTTCCATGTTGAGTAAGTGACGAGACGCCAATACAATACAATACAATTTATTTTATGTCGGTAACGTAGAGGGTGGTTACCCAATCGTCCGAGCCTAATAGCTCATGTTGAAAACGCTCGACAGATAAAATACAGATGTGTATATAAATATATGTACAAGTTAAATATATGCATATATGACGAAAAAAAGAAACGAAAAAATATCACCTAGCCCCCTACCCCTAATCCTAATCCTGAACCTCCCCTGAAACCCTACCAGCCCTAATCACCTAACTTGTAGCCCTAACCCTGAAGCCTAATGACCAATTCATAACCCTACTCCTACAATTGTATACTAATACACTTATTACACTTACAGCCAAGCGTAGTTATGCGAGATAGGTCAGTCTTAAATTCTGCTAGAGTAGTTGCCGATTTAACTGAAGATGGAAGCTGGTTCCAGGAATGAGAGATAATATATGAAAAAGAGCTATGAATATGGCTAGAGGTATTTACAGGCTGGGAAACATTAAGAGCAGAGAAGCGCAAATTGTAGTGACAGACCCTAGGTGTGAAAAAATTAGAGATATACGAAGCTCCCTGTAGCCTGTATGCCTTGAAAAACATGATTAAACATATCAAACTCTTTCCCCAGTGCGACGAACATTTGTTTTTCTCGGTTCCAGGTGTACGCAACCACTAACCCCACGTAATGCGCATGCTCTCCGTTACGAATTTTCAAAATGGCGGACAGGTCAAAGAGGGAAATAAAAAAACACAAAGCGATTTTGCAATGAATTCTCAACATACACCCTCATTAGAAAGGCGAATCCACGGAAGAAAGATACAAAACTGTATGATATTGAGATCGATATGATATTAAATCGATACCGAGGGCCCGTTTAATTGCCTTCCACCATGATTATTAGCTTTCTTGACAGCTTTCTGAAGACAGAATACTTTCTTTCTGAAGACTTCTGATATGCAGCTATTGATTATTACACCTCGTATACCTGATTGCTCAAACACTTTGTTTACGATTGTTGAAAGGACCGACTCATGGTTCTCCGTCTTCGTCTTGACATTGCTTTGAAATAGTATAGACTAATAAGCTGAAACGAAAAATTAATCAGGGAAGTTTACGAAAAATCCAGCAAACAAGCTTTAAAAAGACATTTGTTTAGACTTCATGCTTCAACGAACTTCACAAATCTTACTTGTTTATCTTGTAAGTAAACGATGGCAGATTAATTCCCGAAACGCTTTCTGAGTTTCCCGATCCCTCTCCTACTGCTTTCACGCTTACAAAACAGGAAAAATCAAAAGGAGGAAGATACAGCTGTTTTGAAACGCCATTTGGCGAAGGTAAATCTGCTTTTTGTTCGACACTTTACATATCAAAACAAAGGAAATTTGTTCCTCTTTTTGATTCTGGCGGTACATTTTTAATTTGCGCCTGCGTAAAAGAGATATCGCCCGAGACCCTTCGCTCGGTCGTGTTTTAATCAAAAACGCCTTGATAATTTCACGCAACCGCTCGGAGAAAAGGTAAAAATGACGAGGGAAAAACTTTACCTTCAAGTTAGAAAATTAGCGAAATAGAAAGCCACAATATTATAGTTTAATATTTCAGAGGTACATTGAGTGCTTTTTCCGCAGAGAATCCGCACGATGGTAAAACATTCGAAAATTACACTCGATTTGAGTAGGGTGGTGAAGTGGGCGTGGTCACTACATTCATGTTAAGACTATTTGTACCCCATGAGTTTGATATGACGCAGTAAGACGTCTTTGGATTAAGGTGTCCATACTAGCAAGCCTGAGACAGTCTTTGTACTCAGTAGATCTACCTAGATTAAGCACAGTTCTTAACGCGTAAAAGTTACATTGAAAATGTTGAATGCCATGTTGAAAATTATGACTGAAATGGTTTAACACGAGCAAAGCTGATCTTCGAATCGTCGGCCATATTTGTTTATGTTCTTGCTGGTAAATAAATTAGTTCTCAGGTCCTTTTAGGAATAACTAGACCCTGTGAGCAGGGTAACTGGGATACCTGGATTTTACTGGATCCTTGAAATCAAGTGTAGTGATACTACGCGTGTCGGACTAGTATACTGAAATAGTGCGCTCAAGTCTGGCCAAGGGCATACACCTATTTCAAAACATAGGCATGCTATGCATGCAAGAGTTACTTTTTTGTAGGGTGGGTTGATAACTTGAAACATTGTGAGCGATGTCTACATTCTTACAAAAGGAGAGAAGAATATTAATGTGGGAAAGAACGAAAATGTCGAATTACCTCACTCACAGGTATTTTGTGGTAGATTATGTGTGTTTTGCGGATAAATGTAACCAAAAATAAACTGTATTGGTGCCACGGATACCTGTTAGTACAAAATGCAGACAGCAGACTGCAGACGGGATACAAAATATAGACTGCAGACTGTAGAGTGGGTACAAAATGCAGACTAAGAATCTGAAGAGTTTCTATGTCTGGTTTATAATAACATGTCATCTTACAGCTTACCGAGCGTCACGCAATCGCTTTTCTGCGATCCGCCTTCACGATTATTTGCACTATTGTGGAATATTCCTGGCCCATTTCTTGATGAAAATCGATCGCAATATTATTTCAAGCCTTCAATGTAGTCTTCTTACTTTGCGCGCGAGTTGGTTGGTGTGATGTCTGTACAGATTTTACCTGCGTAATAAAAGTAGATGAGGTGAATAACAGTGATGGT